AACTGGACTGGTAGGTGTGTGAATCAGAGATGTGGCAGTGGGATCTATGGCTGCGTGTCTGCACTAATGCAAAGAGGAGAGAATCTGCTGTTTTTACAGGCTGCAGTGAGAATAGTGGAAGTAACTTGGTGCGGGCTGACGCAGCCCTTTCAGTGGCACGGGTTGAAGATCATTTCTGAAGTGCCTCCAGAGAATGCATACAGAAACATCATGTTGGACTTGCAAGCCTCTGAGCTGCTGCCAGACCAGCCCAGTGCCACTCCAGGACTTGTGAGACCAGAGCCATCTCTTCACCCTAAGGGGAGATGGCCTTTCATGGAGTTAAGCACGTTAGGAGGCATTCGCCATCTCCAATAAGGCCACTGATAGCCCTAACCAGCAGAGCTGGTTGAATCGTCCCTTGGGCAGAAGCCAACCTGTGGGTTGTAAATTGAACCACAGAGAGCAGAGAAGTTGTTTGTCAAGGGAAGTGAGATAAAGGGAAGCTGGGGAGTGCAGTGCCTTTGATAAACAGTGCCTTACCTGTCGTGGGATAGCCCTCTCCCACAGCTGTGCCCAGGGCCAGTCTGACAGCGCTTCAAACAACTCAGAAAAAATTGAGGTTCCGGAGCTGCATGGAATACTTAAGCACTCACGTTAAAACTGATGCTGGACATCTTTTGCTGGGCCCACTGCCATTCCTCACAGTATTAACCATCTGTGATTTTCCATGAGAGGTACCTGCGGAAACCTGAGTGGGACGTTAAATTCCTGTGTTGGAATATTGCCCAGCTGTTTTCTTCTGCACCGTTCCAGGGACTGGAGTAGAGACATGTTCATTCTTAGAGTTTTCTTCATCTCAGAAAACCTTCAGGGAAGGAAAAAAAAAAGGTAGAGGTTCTTTGTTACAATCTATATTTTTGCATTACTGTAGCACTTAAAAACTCCAGTTCAGTGTCAAGAAGAGAAAAAGAATAGAAGACACATTCCTGGTGGAGTTCCCATGAGGTGGGAGAGCCTGGGGCTCTGACCTGGGATCCAGTGTTTGACTGAGGCAGAAGCCCACGCTGGGACAGTAACCACACTGGGACAGAGCAGTGGATGCATTTGACAGGAGTTTCAAAAGATTAAACTCTCCATGACTGCATGTAGACTCGGGGATTAACCTCCAAAACTCCCATGGTGGTTTTTCAGCTGATTTAGGGACTCTCTGAAGCCACTTCATGGCTTTTCTCAAGGTTTCCTGCAAAAGGTTGAGGAACACAGCCGCCTTCTTATCCTAAGGTCTTTTCACTGCCCTATGTACAGAAAAGTTATGTGCTGTGTCCTTCATAACCCACTTAGCTCCTGTACAGCCATTTTGGCCACTGTAAAGAGGATACAGCCCAGAATGATTATTCTGATACATCCACACACACAAAAGGTTTAGGATAAAAATAGAAATTCTTTACATACCCCTTCTAGATGCATCTGGAAGAATCAGGGGCCATATTCTGCCCTAAGTCCCAGCAAATGAATAGTGGTGTAGCTCCCTAAAATCAATAACATTGCTCTGCACTTACACAGTGTCAGATTAGATGCTACAAAATCAAAACCAAACCCCATAAAGTAGTTTGGCAGTGCTCACAGCAAGCCATAAAACCCTCTGTAGTTACTTAGAAGTGGTTCTCTGCCCCAGAAAAGAAAAAGCAGTATTAAATCTGGCCTTACAGCCCTGCAAGGTTAGATGCCAATGCTTCCGTCTCATTGAGAAGACAGCAAACTCTTCTTTCTAGTGGCACCCCGCTATGATTTCCCGAGTTATAAAATGCTGCTCCTTAAATTCTTTGCTGGTGCAAGACAACTTACTGAATCCTAACTGCTGTTGGTGTGAGATAAGCTATAGTAGGGGAGAACTTCATCCCTGGAGAAAGAAGGAGAAGATATTTCCCAAACCTAGCATCTGTTGACATCTATGGAGCAGTTTGATGCATTAGAGGTGGCCCCTTGGGAGAAGGAGTAACAGTGCACTTCTATTTTTGCATGAAATCAGGCTTGGCAGAGGGCATGATGATGCATGAATATCGTCAGTGTGTATCTGCTTTCTCACTGTCATTTCCTCGGAGTTAGCGGGGAGGCAAAGGATGGCGGTAGCAAGAGGGACGCAGTCAGCCCTCCTCATTACCTATCAGGGCAGCGGGGGGTCTTGCTGCACGTGCTTTCTACAGACTGCAATGAAACTCACGCTGCTGCTGCTCTTTGCAGGGAGGCAACTCTTTCCGCTAGCTGCTCGGCTCGATTTGGCATTTTTTATTATAGCCCAACGTAGCGTAGCAATGCAGCTGATTCACTGCACCATGGCTGGGGTAAGGACCGCAATCGCATCGTCTCAGGGGACACAGTGGGAGTACGGGAGTGCAAACTCCTGCTCTACTCTCAGACCAACTTTCAGGACTTGAAAGAGAGGGATGTGCTACATTTTAAATATGCATGCATACACCCTTGGCTCCAACGCTCAAACTGTCAGGTATTTTAGGTCGGAGCTAGTCTTCTAACCAGCCTGAAGCTATGCTGCGCTGTGCTGTAATCCTGACAATTTTTCATCTAAATGTGCTTGAATCTAGTAATTTTCCCAATGGCTCACCTCCAAGAAAAATGGTGTCGATCATTTGGTAGGTTTCAGGGTTGTGTGTGAGTCAGCTCTGAGTCAGGCAGCAGCTCCATCTCCACGAAGTGCTGGTCCCACTGTGCTAGCACGACCCATGGGGCTGCAGCCCTGAGATGGACACTGCTCCCGAGCCTCCCCAGCAGCACCGTGTGGAGACCCAGGCACTGAGCACTCGCCAAGCAAAGGGGCAAGTCCACAGCCCCATGCTTTCATCTGTTCACGTCCTGCAAAGCCCTCTGAGCCTCGCAAGATAGTAGAGTGAATAGATGATGCTGGGCAAGGAGAAGGAGGTGGAAACCTGTCTCGCTCCCTGCGGTGGGGCCCATCCAGCCTGGGTGCAGGCACGACAAGTCACTGCTGTGCAAACAAATTCCCTCCCCAGAGCCAGGAAGGAGCAAGACGTGAGTTTTGTCCAGAGACTTCTGTCCCTGGCATGGTGTTTCTGTTTATATTCACATTTATATCAAGTATGGCGGTGTTGCAGTTCTCAGGCAGTCGAGAGCAAAGCCAGACACAGTCTTGAAGGCAGCAGTCACGGTGTGCGTTGTGCAGTGTCGTGACTGACAGGTTCCTCTCTCTCTCTCTTTTGTCTTTCTCTCCTCCTCCTCGGCGGTGTGATTGAAGCAACGGCCAGTGAAGCAGTCCCTGAGCGCCTGCATGTGCCGAGAATCCCACTGGAAATGCCTCCTCCTCTCCATCCTCATGTACGGCTGCCTGGGTGCAGTGGCCTGGTGTCAGCTGGCCCGGGTCACCAAGCTCAGCTTCGATAGTTCCTTCAAGGGCAAGTCCATGATCTACCACGACAGCCCGTGCTCGGATGGCTATGTCTATATCCCGCTGGCCTTCCTCTCTATGCTGTACGTGGTGTACCTGGTGGAGTGCTGGCACTGCCACGTCAAGAGAGAGCTGCAGTACAAGGCGGACGTGGACAGTGTCTATGAATGCATCAACCGCATGCAGCAAGCCACTCCGTGTATCTGGTGGAAGGCCATCAGCTACCACTTTGTGCGGCGAACCCGGCAGGTGACCCGGTACCGCAACGGTGACGCCTACACCACCACGCAAGTCTACCACGAGAGGGTGAACACCCACGTGGCTGAAGCTGAGTTTGACTATTCTCACTGTGGATACAAGGACATTTCCAAGGAGCTCCTGGGTTTGGAGAGCTACACAGCCACCAAGCTGAGGTTCACCAAGTGTTTCAGCTTTGCCAATATTGAGTCTGAGAACTCTTACCTGACGCAGAGGGCTCACTTCTTCACAGAGATCGAGGGGCTGGATGACTACATGGAGGTGAGGGAAGGCATGCAGCTCAAAAATGTGGACTTTAAAGAGCTTATGATGGCCTACGGGGACCCGGATCATCTCCCGTGGTACGTGTCCCACTATGCTTTCTGGGTGGCAGCTATCCTGATGATCTCGTGGCCGCTCAGGGTACTCATAGAGTATCGAACTGCTTATGTGCACTACCATGTGGAGAAGCTGCTGGGCCTGGAGTACACGGCACCCACGGCAGCGGAGGAGCCCTTGTACCGGTACCGCATGCCCCGAGACGCCACGCAGGACAGCACCGAGCTGGAGTGGCACATCTGCACCAACCGGCAGCTGATCCCCAGCTACTCGGAGGCCATGCTCATGGACCTGGCCGACTCCCCGGCCTACAACAGCTATGCAGTGTGCCGGTACGGCGAAACGGCGCACGGCTGCGAACGCTGCAACCATGCCTCCAGCACCTCCTCCATCTTCTCACGCCACGCTTTCCACAGCTGCAGCGGCAACTCCCGCCTCTCCCTCAACACCAGCCGCTTCTCCCCGGCTCCCACAGGACAGGCCTCTGGAGGAGCCGCAGCAGCAGCATCGCGGACCGGGGCTGCCAGGATGAGCAGTGCTGCTCGTACTCCAGCCAGCTGGCTGTCAACGAAAACCCCCCAACCTACCATGACGCCCGCTTCTTCCCCGTCCTGATTGTGCACAGGCCGGAGGGGCACGACGGGCGGCATTTCTACATCAGGCGCTCGTCCTGTCTGGAAACCTCTCTGTGACAGGCCTCCGTGCCTCCTCGGCGCCTCTGCCCCAGGACAGGGCTTGCAGAGGTGCTGCCAGCATGGAGCGGGCAAGCGTAGGTCTCTGCAGTGGGTCGGCAGGATGAGCTTCAGCTCCTTCCCCTGCCATCGCAAAAGGACGTAGTCACTCTGACCAGTGGCTAACCTCATTTCCAAGAACTTCTCCCTCTCCTTTGACTGGTCTCTCTAGTCATTTGTTCCCCTCTTCCTTCCGCTCCTCACCCTTTCTCTGCTCCTCAATTCCCTGTCTCTCCTCCCATGCCACCCTTAGTCTGGTTTTTACATTTCAGTCACAGCATTTGACCGCTGTTGCTGCTGGAGAATTTATAAGGCCTCTGCTTTGCAGTGCATTTGCCCTCTTGGATGCCCTGCAAGGTAAGAAACTCAGATAGAGCGAGGCAAAAGGCACACAGCCAGCCAGAGACGAGTCAGAAGGAGAATTCAGATCTGCAGGTGCTGAGTCACCTCCTGCAACCCCCAAACAAGGTGCTTTTTTAATTTATTTTATTTTCACTGGTCTTTTTTCCTCTTCTTCTGTCATTTATTCTCTCCTTTCTTCATGTTCTCCTCCTCTCCCTTTACCCTCATCTTCCATTTCTTCCAATTTTGTCACCTCTGCTTTCCAGTTTTTCTGGGGTTTTGCTGGTGAGGACGTCTTTCAGGGTGTAATTGCCTTCTATTGGGCAAAAAATAAGATATCCACGGCACAAATGTCACTGACTGTTGACACAACCACAGCTACGCCCCTGAGAAGTGCCGAGGACTTTCTTTCCAGAGCAGTGCCATTCCCTGATAAAGCAAAAAGCCCTTTGCTCACCTTGCCCTGCCTGGTCTGCAGCAGAGACGCTGCTGTGTTTCCAGCTGTCGTTAACCTTGTTCAGCTCCACCCCTGTTAGAGATCGTTGAGAGCCATAATGTAGATCAGTGCCCTGCTAGTGCCACTAGTTTTAGGACTGTGGGTCTGGTTTGTGGTCGTTTCATTCCTACCACTTGCTCCGTGCAGCACGGGCTGGACATGGGGAGAGGATCTGGAAAGGGAAAGGTGAATATGGTATTAACCATCCCACCGATGGCGTGGAGTTGTTAGGAAGCTCCTCCACCCACAGCATCTATTAGAGCAGTCGTAGGACTGGTCCACCTTACCCTCAGCTTTCCGTGCACCCTGGGGCGGGGGTTTGGCCCATAGCCCATTGCCACCTTCCCACTTTCCCAGGCGGGAAGTGGTGCCACCCCAGCCCCGGGCAGGGAGCACAGCTGGGAGCCAGCCTCACCAGCCACTCCTGCTGGTGCTCCAGGCTGTTCCCGCCAGGCTTCCCCCGAGCGGGTGCAGGGCCTTCCAGAAGCTATCGGATTAGTCCCAGCAACGCCAAACCCAGACAGTATCCGGTCCTGACAGAGCAGATGGCTGCACTCTGGGCTGTGGGCTGCCCTCCCAGCCTAGCTGGAGACACCCCCAACTCGAGAGCCAGGGACCGACCCAAGAAGCCTATAGCCACACTGAGGACCCGGCAGGGCCCTCACACCTGCCAAACCTCCATCCCACAAGGGATGGGCACATGCCGAGCAAGCTCCGCTCCATTTTGTCGTGTGGATGGCGGAGATGATGATCAGCTGTGAGTCACAGGAGAATGCAATACAGTCGCAGTACAGTCACTTGTGAAAACAAAGTGTTGTCACTCCCTACAGCGAGTAGGTAGGACACCAAGCCCCCAGAGGGGCTGGCAACAAACGCTTCCTCCCAACTCTGTTCTGTACGTACCTACATGTAATACGAGATCTGTAAAGTCATATTAGTATGTGTAGATCATACCTAACTCTGCATACTTCTATGGTGATTTCTTATGGCATTGACTGTTGCACCATATTAAACACATTTTGGTTTGGTTTGATGACTCTGTTTTGATGTGCTGTGTTTATTTCAACTCCAGGAATAGAAACATTGGCCATACCTGGCTAACCTGCTGCAAATGATGGTACCATCAGAAAGGTTGTTTAAATTCGTATGAGTCAATCTTTCTTCATGTAAATACTTTATGTATGATTTATGTGACATTTTCATTCTGACAGCTTGGCATTTATCGCAAAAGATAGATAACACATATGATGTGTTAGTTTATCACCTCTAAAAAAGAATAACCATCCCAGACACATGGAGGAACCAGGTTTGGGCTTAGGATAATGATTCTGGTTGGGCTGGGGCCAAACTAGATAACATGGAAACTTAGAGAAAAATCCAAACTTAGATCCACCCTACAGTGACCCAGTCCTAGTCCCCCATCTACGCCGTGCCACCTACCACCCCCAGGCAGAGCCGGGAGAGTTGGGGAACTAGGAAAGGATCAGTCCTGAACTCAAAGCTCAGACTCGTTCCTGATTTACTTGTATTCTGAAGACGAATTAAATGCAAATCTTTAATATGGTTCCCTGTCCTTGTCTTTTAAAACCAGCACATATGGAAGATGTAAGAGCTGGAGGAGGCTGAAACATCACGAAGCAGAAAGGCTGGAATTTTTCAACGCAGTTTCTTACTGAGGGAGGTGGTAGGGAGGAAAACAAGAAAGGAGAAAGGAAGAGATGGAAGAATAATATAAATTAAAAGAGAACAGAGTTCAGCTGCAGCTAAGAGAATTCCCAGATGGGCAGCGTAACTCAGTTATAGCAGGCTCAGCCCAGACACAGGCAGGATGAGTTTCAGTCTTCTTGTGTAGCTGTTGCAGCCACCTGTGGCTTTAAATACCATGTCCAAGGTCTTGGCATGGCCAGTTTGGTCCCATATGTATTTCAAGATGGAGAGTTATATTTGGGTCCTCAGAAGTGGCCACGTTAAACAGTATTATTATCCAACATGAACAAGCTCTGGCAATCCCATTATTATGATGGGTTGGGCGGAGAATGGAGGCAGTTTATGCCCAGTTAAACCTTTTCAGTGTCCTCAAAAGCCACTGTAATATCCAGCACTCTCAGGCTGTGTCCTTGGCAGGGTTTGGAAAGCCCAGAGGGTTTCTGCTTCCTGTTCTGGCCCAACTCTGGGGCATTTATTTGAGAAGCCATCCCTAAGCTGCAAAAACCCTCACACACGTGGAGCTGCTTCCTGTCACAGGGATCTGTCTGCTGGCAATGGAGGGGATAGTGCTGCTCTTCCAAGTCCCAAGATGGAGTGGACAGGTTCTTGAATCCAAGTTCAAACCAGGCAGCTCTATGGAAAACACCTTGTACAGAACACAGGGATTTTGTATCCAGTTGGAGACTGACTACTTCGGCAATGGAGTAGTGGCATGTGCCAGCAGCTTTTGCTGAACTTTTAGGGCTATGGCTTCTCCTGTGGAAATGGGTGTTTTGGGATGCTTTCTCACTGGAATGACCCATCCTTGTCCTGTTGGATCTCGAAAATTAGAAGAGGCGGAACAGAAGAGGAAGGTGAGGAAGTCCAGCAAATACTTCTCTCCCTCCTGCCTTCTCTCTCTCCCTCTCTCCCTCTCCCTCTCCCTCTCCCTTTCTTCCTTTTTCCTTCTCCCTCATCTTCAGAAGTCTCCCAGCACTGGGAATTCACCTCTTGATTATTGTGCAGCTCTTCAGGCATTTTCTACAACATGCCTACTCCACCAGCAGGTCCGGTGAGATGTAACAACACGCTATCGAAACCGAAGAAGTAAGGAAAGGATGTCAGCCAGAAAGGCACTGTCTTATTTATAAGCTGCTGAGCTGTGCCCTGTGTGTGTGAGCAGCGAGCGCTGCCACTGGTGTGACGGCCCGTAGAACAAAGGCACGTTGCTTAATTGAGTGGCATGAGAGGCTGGTAGGTTCATTTTTCTGAAGTTCCTAAATGCATTTCAGAATCACCAGTTCCTTTGATTTCTGCATGGTAATACTGCACTTCTCTGCAAGTTTTCCCACAGCAGTTTGCACTCCAACTGGCAGCGCCAAGTGTGGGATTTTAGTCCAATTTTTGTATGGCTCTTCCTGCCTATCACTGTTGACACAAAGCCCTTCTCAGAAGAACTGAAGCCAGATCCCCTTGCAAGGGAAAAATTCCCTTTGGACTACTGCTTCCCACACAGCTTACACCAGCCCAGAGTCTGGCCTGTGCCAAGCTACAACTTCCTGTCCCGTACTCCTCTTTGCAGATGAAAGCTCCTTTCCCCTTCCCCTTCCCGAGGCCTTTGGGAGCATCACATGCGATATTTGGTCAAAGCACAACGTGACGGGTGAGGCAGAGGCGTGATGCGGACACACAGCGTGGAGTCAAGCCACTCTCGGTCACTGCCTCCCCGCATGGGCTTGGCCAAGTCACAATGCTTCTTCCCTGTGCCTCCTCGCTCCTGCCTGTACACCAGAGCGTTTCCTCAGCCCACAGGCCCAGTATAGCCTTGTAAGCCTCTGTAATAGGAAGGCTGGAAGTAATCCTTAGAAGGAAAATGCTGTAACACAGCCTTATTCTAATGGCTATTTTTTTTTTTTTCTCATGAGACAACTAAAATCTGTAAAAGTAGCTACTTTCTGGAAGGCGCTATCGCCATGAGTAAGTGCAGAAACACGCCGCGCTCTCGGGTAGATGGGTATATATGGATACACGGGGGAGAGAGCGCAGCGGCAGCGAGGGCGCGTGAAGCTTTCAGCAAACACCAGCGCAGAACCTCTCAGCCCAAAAGACGTCGTGATCCCGGGGAGAGGCATGTCACGATTTCCTGTCCCTGAGAGCACCCAGGCTTCCTGCAAGCTCCCGGGTGGATGGTTTGTCAGTGTCTCCTCCGCTGGGGAGGGGCTGACGTTTCCATCCCAGTCGTGAAATTTTCTTGGCGTTGCTCCACACCCCTAGGAATTCCTATCAGAAATGCAGAAGGCTGGGGAGGGGAGGAAGATCAGGGGTTGGGAGGCAATGATGTGAGCTTGTCGTTCCTCATTTTCTCCATCCCCCTGATGGGGATAACGCGGTTCCCCCACGCTCCTCATTTAGCCAGGTCTCCAGAGGTCTGCAGGAG